GACCCAGGATGATTGGCATCGGGTGGGCGGAGTGAACCCGGGGTAGGTTATGTGACCCGAGGTGATTGACCCTGGGGTGGCCGGAGTGATCTGGGGTGATTGACCCCAGCGGGTTAGGTGACCAGAGGTGATTGACCCTCAGGTGGACGGAGTGACCCCAAGCTGACCCGGGGTGATTGCCCCGGCAGGCTGGAGTGACCCCATAGTGATCTAGGGTGATTGACCCTTATGGGCTAGAGTGACCCCAAGGTGACTTAGAGTTATTGACGTCGGGGTAGTCGGAGTGACCCCAAGGTGACCCGGGGTGGTTGGCCCCAGGTGGATGGAGTGACCCCGGGGTGGACGAGGTGACCCTAGGTGATTGACCCCAAGATGGACGAAATAACCCCAAAGTGACCCAAGGTGATTGACCCCGGGGGTGGCATAGTGACCTGGGGTGATTGACCCCAGGTTGTCCGGGTTGACCTCAGGTAACCTACAGTGATCAGTGAGGGTTGCTAATTATGGACAATCTGAGAACACATTTGTCAAATTAAATTTCTTAATTTGGGGTCCATCAGTTGCCCTCTTGTCGTCGTAAACATTGAATGAAGAAGATTTTGCGGCGACAATCACACTTTTTATTGGGCCCTCGAGAACCCTTGGCAAGAGAACTAACCAATTGTGATTCGTGTACCAATCTTAGTTCATGAATCTTGAATCTTGAGATATGTATTTGAAAACATCAAACCAATTTTGGCTAGCGGAATTGAAGAGTGGAATTGAGCTGATAACGGTCCATGCAGAGAATCTCTAAGCCATTGTTGGTTCATTACACAGTTGGTGATCAACCAATTGTGGGTCACATATGTAAGGAACGAACCAATTGTAGCACGTTAGGTGGAGGGGATATGAACTAATATTATATCAGATGTGGTCCATTTGAATGGAGATAATGAAACAATGTTATTCATGAATGGAGGGGATGAAGAAATTGTGTTCATGCTTTAAGTGGGTATGCCAATCTTGGTATTGAATAAACCTCGAAATGGGTATGATCCTCGCTAGATCTCTAACATTGTAGTCAATAATTCATTTGGTTTCTATCATTCGCGTTCTCATTTTTGTTAGAATTCTCTTTATCTTATAGTTCCACTAAGATTACTTTTGCTCCCCACATGCATTTATGTTTCCAGTGATGATGGAATTTATGACAGTTGGGGTGGAGCCGATCATGATGATAACACCAAGATGACAACTCTGTGATAAGAAAAAAATCTTGGAGGGGGCATCACTCAAAGTGGAGATAGGTCCACAATAGCCATACTGATCACGACAATATAGTGTCGATAGGAGAGATGATGATGGAGGAATACCCTCACTGGGCATTGTCACTCTAGTGACAAGAAAATGGGTACATTGATAATGGTTGAGGCGTCTCATTTATAAATGTTGTAATTCACAAGAGATCGGCACAGCATAGTGTCTCAAAGAGAGATTAGCTCAATTGGTTGGATATTAGATTTCTAATCGCACAATTTTGTGCTTTCATGTGGCAGTTATTGTAAGGTATTGAAATTTATTTTTCCAACACTAGTGCAATGGTTGAGTGACGGCTCTCCCCCAATCATGAATTGCAATGATTAGAGGATTGATCAACCTTAGTGCAATGGTTGCGTAAAAAATAAACATATGCATGCAAAATGAACCTTACACCCAAAACTTATGTGCAATGATTGGGTTGAGAGCACACACATGTTATTGGATGCAAGAAAATAATGACGGACTCATTAAATGGAATAGTCACTAACAAATAACAGTCAAAATAACCTAATTCCTTATATTCCGTCCCCTTTAGGTGTGAATATTAGGAGGAGTGGTGACTAGGCATCGATGAGTTACTTCCTAAATGCGTATATTAAATTCCTTGGAGAGATTCAAGTTATTGGAGGAATTCTTTGAGAACTTGAGAGCTTTCCACATGATTTGGTATTATGGGAGGACAATGTTGTCTCCCTAGATGAGACGACTTCATATGGGAGGTGATAAAATGCTGACTCACGATCCCGGCTCGAGTAAGAATTTGGGTTGGAGATGAAAGATGGATTAAATGACTTGAACTTGACTCTCTGATACTCTAGGAATTTCTCAATATGAAAAGTGACCAGCAATTTGGTGGTAGGGTCGTCAAGAGTGGCTAGTGACAACTAATGAAGGATACCACTTTTGACATGACTTATTGAGAAAATTTTGTTTTGGTGGTGGAAGGCCAAGATGGTTGGTGGCCACTGTATTTGAGGTGATTGCCAATAAAGGTATCTAAGTAGAGAGGTGTAAACAAGGTGAGGACTGACAAAGGCATCAGAAAATCAGATGATAGGACTTGCCACGCTGATGGTCAACATAATTGGTGGCAGTGGAGAGCATTTGGTCATGAAGGGTGGTTTGCAACTTGTAAGTGAAAAAAGATTTTTTATAAATAAACATTTTGCCTTCATGTTGCTATGGAGAGGCAGAGTACTAATGGTAGCACTCGGGGTTCTGAGAATTCTAGCAATCTCACTTTGGTGGGCCAAAAGGAGCTAGGTAGAGACCGAGCATATGGTAGGTGCTGTAGATGATGGTAATTGTCAAAACTCAAAATCCTCTGAACCAATTGGAGCATAGTTGGTTGTGTAGCTAGCCAAAAGCGTCTCGATCTCGAGGAGTGATATAGGTGAGGATGGTTGTCTTGATCATTGGAGGAGCTAATTCCTCATTGCACTTGAGGTTCATATGCCCAATGGCGTTTCAAGTGCATGTTCACATGGATCTTTGTCAATACTCTTATAACATTCATCTCATTTTAGAGTTCTTTTTCCTAGCGAGTATTGGTGGCATCGCTTGGGTGATATGTTTGCTCAAAGGCTTGGCTAAGAGGAGATTCTCCTGTTTCCCCCCTGGTGGAAGCCCAATATATGTCATCCCTGGAGGGTGATAGGAAAAACGTGCACATGGTGGAGTTGGATGCTCCCACAAGGGTCATCATAATTTGGAATACACAAATGGTGAGTTATTTGGAAGTCTGGGGTGTTGGGATGGTTAAAGTTTGAACGAGCCAATGGCTTCTCATGCCTGAAGTTAGTGAGAAAACTAGCCATAAGGTGAGGCTCGAGGTATGGGAGGTCTTCTGGTCATGGAGGTGGATGAGGGGTTGATGTCCCATTGGGGTGACCTGATACTTTAGCGGTTTCCGGTTGGTGGCTAGAGTGCAACCCATGGAGCGGAGGAGGTGCTGAAGTCAATGTCTGGATTTAAGCTTTCAGCTGCTCAATTTGGACTTGAAGATCTTCTACGGACGGCGGAGGTTCTGGCTCTTTGTCTTGAAATCCGACGCCGGTTTGGAGATTTTGAAAGCTTTGAGACTCCATCACGAGTGAAGTGTCGGCGCTAGGCTCTCTTCAACATTTTACTCCAGGGCCCCACGGTGGGCGCCAATTGTTGATGTCTGGGTTGTAGCCGACGTTGAGTATTTTTATGTTGGGCATCGGAGTTGGTCGACGTCCACCTTTCACCTCTAACTTCTCTCGTGATGTCAGGTCCGGTCGTCTCCTGCAAAAAGGGTCCATTGGCCAATCTCAGGGGGGAGCCGAGGACACTCTCCGACGCTCAAGTTAGTGAGGGGGTTGAGTGAATATTACCCCCCAAATGAAAGATGAGGGAATGGAGTTGAGAATGAATATATGCGCTAATCATAGCGAGAGTTCACGAGTCTAGGCATGGAGATTTTTGCTTACCTCAATCTCGAAACGAAGTGGTCTTTTATAGAGGCCTCTGGGAGAATATGAAGTGGGTATGTGTCTCCCTCTGGAGCTTGATGGTATGAAGAGGGGACATGTCATACGGGTTCGTGTCCAAGTGTGTTGAGTGACCTGGGGTGGGCAATGAGCCCAAGTTGCCCGAGTTAACCCAGGGTGGTTGACCCCTGGGGTGACTGGAGTGACACCAAGGAGACCCAGGGTGATTGACCCCAGGGTGGCTGGATTGACCCCGAAGTGAACCATGATGATTGACCCCAGGTGGCCGGAGTGACCCCAAGACGACCTAGTATGATTGACCCTGAGTGGTCAGAGTGACCCCAGGGTGGCTAGGTGACCCGAGGTGATTGACCGCGGGGTGGCCGGAATGACCCTAAGGTGACCCGGGGTGATTAAACCCTTGGTGGCCGAAGTCACCCTAAGGTGACATAGGATGATTGACCTCGGGTGGGCGGAGTGACCCAGGGTGGGTTAGGTGACCCGAGGTGATTGACCCTGGGGTGGCCGGAGTAACCTGGGTGATTGACCCCAGTGGGCTAGAGGTGATTGACCCTGGGGTGACCGAAGTGACCCCAGGGTGATTGATCCTGGTGGGCTAGAGTGACCCCAAGGTGATCCAGGGTGATTGACGTCGGGGTGGCCGGAGTGACCCCAAGGTGACCCGGGGTGATTGACCCCGAGTGGATGGAGTGACCTCAGGGTTGATGAGGTGACCTTAGTTTATTAACCCCGAGGTGACCGGAATGACCCCAAGGTGATCCAAAGTGATTGACCCCGAGGGTAGTTGGAGTGACCCGGGGTGATTGACCCCAGGTTGGTCGGGTTGACCTCAGGTGACTTGCAGTGATCAGTGAGGGTTGCTGATTATGGACTACCTGGGAACACTTTTGTCAAATTAAATTTCTTAATTTGTTGGATTTGAAAATGAAGGTTTTTTGTTTTGAAAATCTTTGGATTTATGATGGGACTTGTTGCATTTTGTATTTGAAAGATAACAATGTTTGTTTAGTTGAATTTTTATTATGAATTAAGCTCATTTGGTATTTGGGTCTCAAAAAATTGCCTTCCATAATGTTTTATTTGTAAATACCAAATGAAACGTGGTATTTGCAAATACGTGGGATTCACGGATTTGGAATTCGTGGACCCCATGGATTTGGAATCCGTGGACCCCACAGATTTGTATACCTTTTTTTTGTTTGTTAAAAGACAGACGCCAAGCGTCTAATTCATATTAATAATAGAACGTTCATGGAAAATTCCCAGTACATCATGTTTGATCCATTTGATCAAATCCCTATCACACACATTGAAGTGATGTGTGCCAAAATCAAAGTCATGAGCCTTGTTAGCCAAGTAATCGGCTGCGTAATTCGCTTCTATATACACGTTGGAAACTCTAACCTCCCATTGTTGATCCAAAATGTAGCTCAAATTCCTGGCAATAGTACCATGGCGATGCACATCATCATTTCTGTGTTCAATGATGTTAATGGCAGTAGTGAAATCACTATGGAGGATGATCTTCCTGTAGCCTACCTTCCACGCAATCTTCAGACCCTCCAGGGTTCCTCGCAGTTCTGCAGCTGTGATTGAGCATCGTCCAAAATTACACACATAAGCTCCCATACATCTATCTAAGTGATCCCTGAACAATCCTCCTATTGCTGCTCTTCCACTTGGCGCTCGTACAGAACCATCTGATTGCAGTTGGATCCACCCTTCATCTGGCGGTTTCCATCCCACCAAACAGGATAGTTTCTTCTTTTGAACTAGGCCTGAGGTCTTCTGTATGTTGGCATGAGCCTGATTCACAATGTTGAACCATGCCTTGATTCTTGCTGTGACACTTTCTTTTATAAAGGTACGCCCGTCCATTACCTCATCATTCCTTTGTTTCCAAAGTTGCTAGCAAATGATCCCAAACTCAGTAGCTGTTTCTTCAAATCTGATATTGTGCATCAGCCATTCATCAAAGTTCAGGTTACTGCTTTTGGTAGAATCCTTGCTCTGAAAGATCTCCCAAATGGTCTTGGCTTTTTTGCACTTCCTGAGGATGTGCTCAATCGTTTCTTCTTCTTCTTCTTCTTCTTCTTCTTCTTCTTCTTCTTCTTCTTCTTCTTCTTCTTCTTCTTCTTCTTCTTCTTCTTCTTCTTCTTCTTCTTCTTTCCAATGGCTGCACAGGTTGCAAGTTGTCAACTTCCTTCTCTCCCTCTCTTTGTTGGTGAGGAGGCGATCATGGGTTGCCAGCCATAGGAAGTGTTTTATCCTACTTGGCCCCCTCCACTTCCAAATTTCTTTCCATTTGCCATTCTTCTCCTGCTCCTCCATGTCAGCTACAAGACTGTATGCTGATTTCAGGCTGAACCTTCCATCCTTTTCCAAGCCCCAGATAGTAACATCCTCTCCCAGCTGAGGGTCAGGTGCATCAGTTCCTACAATGGTCAAGACCACATCATTAGGGAGATAGTGACCTAGTTTGATCCAGTCTCACTTACCCTCCTCTGTGACCCAGTCAGCAACAACAGAATCCAGGTCCTCTTCATTGACGTCGACAGTGGCAAGGTCAGCAAGAATTGTGTTGTTGTCAATCCAAGGTTCCTTCCAGAAGAGAGTACTCTTCCCATCCCTGATGCTCCAACATGTGGCCTCTTTCATCAGCCTCATTCCTCTAACAATGGCTTTCCACAAATTGGAGTGGTTGCTCTTCTTCATTGTAGTAATGTCACCCCCCTGATGCTTGAAATATTTCCCCTGCAGGACCTGGACCCATAGATCAGAAGCATTATTAAGCATATGTCACCCAAGTTTGATCATGTAAGCCATGTTCATATGTCTAGCAGATTTAACACCTAAGCCCCCTTCACTCTTTGGTTTACAGATATTCTCCCAGGCAATAAGATGAGTTTTCCTTTTACCCTCAATAGAACCCCAAACAAAGGATCTAACCTTCCTATCAATAGCATCACAGATAGATACTGGGAGACAGGTGGTTTCCATAGCATAGGTAGGGAGTGCATTAAGTACAGACACAACCAAAGTGACTCTACCAGCCAAGGAAAGAGTTATGGCTTTCCAGTTGGTGAGTTTCTGGTCAATCTTGTCAAGAATGAACTTGTAAGTGCTCTTAGTGATTCTGCCATGTAACATAGGAACACCAAGGTATCTGCCTAGGTCTGAGGTAGCCTGGATTCCTAGTCTATTGCAAATATCACTATTATCCTTGTTCTTAACATTCCTAGAAAAAAAGACCCTAGACTTCTCTTTACTAATCATTTCACCAGAAGCCAAGCAGAAATTGTTGAGACATTTCATAACAACATCAGCTTGAGTACTGTTGGCTTCAACAAACAGGACAAGGTCATCAGCAAAGAAGAGGTGTGAGAGGGCAGGACCCCCAGGGGAAAGCCTAATCGGGTTCCATCTATGGTTCTTAACTTCACTCCTTATACAGTGACTCAGTCTCTCAACACAAAGAGTAAGAAGATAGGGAGAGAGAGGGCATCCCCTCTGAGGCCCCTAGATGGTGTGAAGCTTTTAGTTTCACCTCCATTCCAAAGCACTTGGTAGCTTGTAGAGGTCACACACTCCATAATCCACTTAATGCATTCATCAGGGATTCTGGCAGCCTTGAGGGTTTCATGAAGGAAGTCCCACCCAATCCTGTCATAGGTGTTGGCAAGGTCCACTTTGAGCACCATGTACCCCTTTTTGCCACTTTTCCGAGCCATGGAGTGGATGGTTTCCTGCATGATAATTATATTATCAGTGATATGTCTCTTAGGGATGAATCTGGACTGGTTTTTGTTTACCAGATGGGCCATGAGAGGTTTCAATCGATTGGCAATAAGTTTAGCAATGACTTTATACCCTACATTACAGAGGCTTATGGGTCTGAACTGGCTCATAGAGGTTGGGCTATCCACTTTGGGGATCAGGGTAATCAGAGTATCATTCAACAACCTAATTTTGTTGGGATAAAGGAAACAGGAAATAATGAACCCAGCAAAATCCCTCCCCACAATGTCCCAGCATTTCTGGTAGAAGATGGCTTGGAATCCAGCCTTACCAGGGGCTTGGAGCCCATTCATATCTTTAATGACAAGTCTAACATCCTCAATATTGGGCAAGGAAGAAAGCTTGGCAAGCAAGTTATCATCAAGAGGAGGGAAATCAGCAGGAATAGAGCAGTTCAGATTCAACGAAGACATGGTGAATAAGTGAAGAAAATACTCCCTGGCCATGGTGAGGAGAGTATCAACATCAGTGATCCAGTCTCCTTGGTCATTCTTCAGGCAAGTGATTCTGTTTCTCTTCCTCCTGCTAAGGGTGTTGGAGTGGAAGTACTTAGAGTTCATATCCCCAAAGACAACCCAGTTGGTTCTGGATTTCTGAATCCAAAGCATCTCCTCTTGCCAAAGGGTATCCTCCAGCTCTTCCTTAGTCCTTTGCTCCTGGTTGAGGGAGTTAGTGGTTGGGAGTCTCTCATTGAGGGTTTCTAGGGACTTAAGCTCATTCAAAAGTCTTTTTTTTCCTCTGGAAAATGTTTCCGTAGACCTCTTTATTGCATTTCTGTAGCTCAGATGAGAGCATCCTAAGAGATGAAGGGAAGTCTTCACCTCTCCTTCATATAGAGCACAGGAAGTCAGGGAAGTTTTCATGTGCTAGCCAAGAGGCTAGAAACTGAAATCTTCTTTCCAACTTCTTTTTGGTGGATTGTGACTCTGTGCAGGTCAGAATGGGCCTGTGATCATACTTGATCTTAGGGAGGTGTAAGGTGGAAGTACCTGGAAACTTGTGCTGCCAGCTCAAGTTACAGATACTTCGATCAAGTCTCTCCTTGATGCCTAAGTGTCTTGTAAACCAAGTAAACTTAGGACCAGAAAATCCAAGGTCCATGAGTCCACAGTCCTCCATGCACTCATTAAAAGCTCTAACTTTGGCAAAGTTGAAAGCAACACCTCCTTGCTTGAATGTTTGTATACCTTAACAAACAATGGCTTTGGACAAAAAAACATGATAGTTGGTATTTGGAGATCAAATACAACATCCAAATCCCATTAGCAAACAACAACTTAATTTTTTTTGGGTTAATTGCATATTTGGTCACTAGGTTTAATAAAAATATTCATGTTTAGTCACTCCAAATATTTATTTCCATTTGTGGTCACTGAAATTAGTTCAACAATTCAACTTTGTCACTGTCCGTCCAACTCCGTTAACTTTGTCTGATATGACAGTCAACTACTATAGTTGACTTGTTAAATATGTGATGTGACAATTAAAATATAATAAAAATATAAAATTTATCTTTTAATTTCTACCTCATTTTCACCATAAAGTAAAAATAAACAAAAAATAATAATTATAATTTATAATTACAAAGAGTGAAATCTTCCTGCATTTGAGTTCGACTGTCTTCCTTGAGTCCATGTCTCCTTCAATGTCGTAAACTTTCTCACTCTGCCCGAAAAACTACTCTTAGCTCATCCCTGGTGTTTCCATTTCCTCTCCTCCTCCCTTCGATCCCTAACCCCAACATATCGATCGAAAACCCATCTCGAAAATTATCAATTTATCCCCAATTCGGCCGCGTTCCATCTCCTTAACTCATGAATACGACGGTGGAATTCTTCCCCGGCGAAGTAATCCTCCAGATTCTGGTTCGATTGTTAGTCAAGCCACTCTTGCGAGCTAGAATGGGCTGCAAACGGTGGGGTTTTCCGAGCTATTAGATGTCTCTGATTCCTCGGAATTGAAATCCACCTGAATATGTATTATCGATAACCTAGATGGTAGCAATCGACGCAGGGCCGCACTGGAGCCAGTTGACGTCGCTGACGGTGTCGAGGACCATGTAGAAGGGTCGGGGTGCCTAGACCAACCAGGGAGAAGTACTCTCGCTGTCCTGGTTCGACCCGGGCATGACTAGGAGTCTTCGTCGAAGAGAGGAGTGAGGTCGGAGTCGGAGATGGATTGGATGCTGGCGGAATCACGGTGGAGCCTAGCGGCAATGAGGGATTTGTAGTCCTGGTGACTGGATCTGATGACGAATTCTATGGAGAGAGGTCGAGGGAGAATGGGGAGGCGGTGTTGAGGTGGAAGGGGGAAAATGTTTGTTCGGAGACGTCGATGGATGTCTCTCCTCTTGGGGAGGGAGGTGTTAGAGTGCGGGAGATAAATGGAGTTAGGAGGAAATGGTTAGGAGAATGGCAAAGAAGGCGAGGAATGTTGGTGAGGCAGCTATTCTCACTTTATAATTTTTTTCTTTGGAGATGGAAGAAGCAAGGAAATAGAGGGTGGGGGAGGAATTGAAATTTGAAAGGGTGGAGATTTTTTGGGAGTTTTTTCTTTTTTGTAGATTATAGTAAATTAAGTTAAAATTTTATTTTTAATAGTTGTGAAAATGAGATTGAAATATTAAAAGATAAAAATTTATTTTTTATTATATTTTAATCGTCATGTCACACATTTAACGGTCAATTATAAGAGTTGATTGCCACATCAGACAAGTTAACGCAGTTGAGTCGGACAGTGATCAAACTTGAACTATTGAAATAATTTCAGTGAGCACGAATGAAATTAAATATTTGGAGTGATTAAACATGAAACTTTTAAATCCAATGACCAAACATGCAATTTAACTTTTTTTTTTATTTGTGAAAAATTCCCGGAGAAGTAGGTGGAGGATAGACGTTATCAAGTATCAACAACGCAAGTACGCAACACCGGAGCAGAACAGAAACTGCCGCCGAAGTGGCAAAGCAGCGGCACTGACTGACTGCTTTTCCTGCAAATCTGAATTCTTCTGCGGGAGGGCGCACGAGAAGAGAAGTAATGATAGGTTCTAGGTTCGCTTCTTTCCAGCTCCAAGCCCCAACCTTCTTCCTCCCCTCCCTCCCGTTCCCTTCTTCTCCTCGCCGGAGGTTTCGTCAGGAGTGCCGGTCTCGTCGCCGGGCGTTTCAAACTTCGCGGACTGGAGCGACCAGTTGCAATTGCAGTGCCGGAGTGAGTAAACCACTGGGTGAAGAACAACATCAGCGGAACAAGCAAGCGCCCAACCGAGCTTACCCTTTCCATGAAATTGAGCCCAAATGGCAGCTCTACTGGGAAGAGAATTCCACTTTTCGCACCCCTGATGAAGTCGATACCTCCAAACCCAAGTTTTATGTGCTGGACATGTTTCCTTATCCCAGGTCTTTATTCTTTCCCTTTTCACCAACTTGATCATTTCCTTATGATTCAGCATTTGATTTGGTTGATTGTTGCCTCACACTGTCCTGGAATGTGTTAGAATTTGTACCACACTTATCTGCTTGATGGATGATGCTCTGATGTTAACCAACCAACATCTTAATGTGGGTTGTTTTGATGTTGCAGTGGAGCTGGTTTACACGTTGGCCATCCACTCGGTTATACTGCTACCGACATTCTTGCTAGGTTCAAGAGAATGCAGGGTTATAATGTTTTGCACCCAATGGGATGGGATGCATTTGGTTTGCCTGCTGAGCAGTATGCCATTGATGTAAGCCATTCAATCACCTCAGTTGTGTTCTAGTGCCTGATCATTCTGGATATACTACATTCTAAGGGAAGCAAAAAAGTGTACCACCTTGTTTGATTAGGTGTTTCTCGTAATATTCCTTGCAGACAGGGACACATCCCAAAGTCACGACGTTAAAGAACATCAACCGATTTCGTTCGCAGGTCCATGTTTCTAGTTACATATTCCTTCCATTTGTTCCTAATATCTTCCATGTAATCGGTCTTTGGTGTTACAGCTTATGGCTGCAGCCTTTTAAATTACTGAAAGGTGGAGTTTGTTGCTTTGATATATTGTTGCAGCTCAAATCTTTGGGGTTCTCCTATGACTGGGACCGGGAAATTTCTACCACGGAACCTGATTATTATAAATGGACACAGTGGATTTTTCTTCAGCTTCTGAAAAGAGGACTGGCATACCAGGCAGAAGTTCCAGTCAATTGGTGCCCTGCTCTTGGAACAGTTTTGGCAAATGAGGAGGTGGTGGATGGAGTTAGTGAACGTGGTGGTCATCCGGTTATAAGAAAGGTATAATGAAACAAACACTTGTTTAGTCACTTATATGATTCTATTAAGTTCTCTTCTTTCATTATGTTGAATTGTTTTATAATTCTACAGTGTCATTGTTTATTACCAAGCAGCCAATGAGGCAATGGATGCTCAAAATTACTGCCTATGCCGATCGCCTCCTTCGAGACCTAGACGAACTTGACTGGCCTGAAAGCATAAAAGAGATGCAAAGAAACTGGATTGGGAGATCTGAAGGGGCTGAGCTGGAATTTTGTGTTCTTGATGAAGATGCCAATGAAAGAGATGTAAAAATCACTGTCTATACCACAAGGCCTGATACCATTTTTGGAGTGACGTACTTTTCTTACTCATTTGTTTCTTTTTGTGAAGTAAAATTTGTGGACAATCCCCATTTCTGGTTCTTTTTTTTATTTCTCTCGGCTTAATTTCATGCAGATATTTGGTTGTGGCACCAGAACATTCCCTGCTTTCAACAATAGTTTCTGTTGGCCAAAGCAAAATGGTATGCAACCACTTCCTTGCAGTATTCATTCTCACTTGTTTATCACCTCTGACAGATTGGTCACCCTTCATCAATCACAGGTGGAGGAATATAAAGACCTTGCTTCTCGGAAAAGTGACCTGGAGAGGACCGAGCTCCAGAAGGAAAAAACAGGGGTTTTCAGTGGCTGCTACGCCAGAAATCCTGCTAATGGGGAAGCAATTCCAATTTGGGTTGCCGATTATGTTTTGGGGAGGTATGCTTGGTTGAATTCTTACTTTGGCTATCACACTCTCTCATACATGTGTTGCGAATTAGCCCCTTTTTGGCCTTTTCCTTTTATCTCTATACTCGGAGCTTATTGGCTTGTGTTATGTTAGCTTGCTAGAGTGTTAACAGATTGTACAGTGTAGTAACTTCTGTTCTTGACAGTTATGGAACAGGAGCAATCATGGCTGTGCCTGCACATGACACCCGTGACAATGAATTTGCTGCCAAATACAACATACCAGTGCGCATGGTTGTAAAGCCAGATGGTGATTGTGTAGATTCAAGCAAGGCTTTTGCAGGCGAAGGCACTGTTGTGAATTCAGTAAATTCATCATCTGGTCTTGACATCAATGGCTTACCTAGCAAAGCAGCAGCTGCCAAAGTCATTGACTGGGCTGAGAAATATGGAAATGGGACAAGAAAGGTGTTCTTAGTTCTTACTGTTAATTTGCATGACATCAGTATTCTTGATAGAAACATTATGTTATGTGTTATTGTGCACACTGCAGCTGACTAGCTGAGTCACTTTTCCTTCAGGTGAACTACAAGTTGAGGGATTGGCTTTTTGCAAGGCAGCGTTACTGGGGGGAACCTATTCCAGTTGTTTTCTTGGACGATACGGGTGAAATCATTTCCCTTTCAGAAACTGACCTTCCTCTTACACTACCAGAATTGGATGATTTTACTCCCACGGGGACAGGAGAGCCACCCCTAACAAAAGCTGTTTCTTGGGTATGTTAGTCTCGTTCGAAATGTGCTTTTTATCTTCCGTAGTTCTTTCAAGTTTGTCCGGAGAATTAGAATCATGATATGCCTTGGTACCCAGTAAGAAAGATGATGGGAAGGTCTAGATTGGGATTAATGAACACGTGTAAATAAAGGGAAACAGCAATGAAGAAGGAAGGTGTTTGTTCAATCCTTGAAGAATTCTGGAATGGCTGCATAGCTTATGGTTACCAGGCCTTATAGAGATGTATAGGCAGTAAATTATTTGGCAACACCAGTACTTTCTTGTACAGCATGACTAGCTGCTCGTCATTTGTCTTTGACGTTCTTACTTGAAATCCATTTCCCCCACTTAACTATTATAGTTTGGGGCTTCTGTCCAGGTTAACACGGTTGATCCTTTATCTGGAAAAGCTGCCAGAAGAGAAACAAGCACCATGCCTCAGTGGGCAGGTTCTTGCTGGTAAAGTAAAAAAAACTTGGCTAAGTTCGAGTTCTTAAATTATGTTTTATCATGTAAAGTGCTAATTCCTTGTCCTATGAAGTTAAAATTTCCTGCTTCCTTCTTTAAGCCATAAAATTCTGCATGCTTTCCTTGATTGTTCAGAGGCCATGTACAGGTACTATTTGAGATACATGGACCCAATGAACTCCAAAGAATTAGTTGACAAGAGGAAAGAAATGTATGTCAGCCCTTTTTGTTATATGCTTATATATATTTCAAGTTAATTTATTTTATGGGACCGTCTTGGTGCCATTTATTAGCTATATCAATGGATGCTTTTTCCTGTAGCTATTGGAGCCCTGTTGATGTCTATGTTGGGGGTGCTGAACATGCTGTTCTCCACTTACTTTATTCAAGATTCTGGCACAAGGTATGTATCCACACGCACTAGGCTAAGAACACTTTGTTAGTTAGGCTGATTATGCCAGTTTGTAAGCCTAGCTCATGAATATTCATATTTTCTGTATGTCCCATTCTGAAACATAGCAAAATGATACATAAACAGATGCAAATTAACCCAAAAAGCTAGGCGGTATAAGCTTTCGACCAAAACACCCCTTTTTCATATTTCAGGTCCTGTACGACATTGGTATTGTATCAACCAAAGAGCCGTTCAAGTGCGTGATAAACCAGGGAATCATCCTTGGGGAAGTATGTTCTGGTTTCTGATTCTTTGAGCAAATAGTAGTCTTGAAATAGAATAATTAATAGCCCTGGAACTTGCAGGTTCAATACACAGCTTTCAAGGACCAAGATGGTAACTATGTATCTGCGGACTCGGTTAATGCATCTGATGAACTTTATCAGGAAGTAATACCTGAGGAAAAGGTGCTGCATTGCCATTCCATTTCCGTTTTCTATATTTCTTTTCTCTTTCTCACGTTCTTCTTGGATTGACTGTATGGTGGAATTGGTAGCAAGGGGTTAACTTTTCCTTCTGCTTGACATGCAGGTGAAGAAATCTGGAGATTGGTATGTGCTGGACGAGAATCCTGGAATCCAAGTGATGGCACGAGCACACAAGATGAGCAAAAGCAGGGGAAACGTTGTGAACCCTGATGATGTTGTTGGGGAGTACGGAGCTGATGCTTTGAGATTGTACGAGATGTTCATGGGGCCTTTCAGGTACTTTTTAAGTCCCTCTCTGTTAAGTTTTAGGATAAGAAAGAGGATGGTTTGAATAAACAATTGCTGAAACAGATGGAGTGTGGTGGTGGTTGTAGGGACACAAAAACATGGAACACCAGTGGCATCGAAGGTGTCTATCGTTTCTTGGGAAGAACTTGGAGGTTGATTGTTGGCTCGCCTCTAGCTGATGGCAGTTTCCAAGATGGGAGCTTGGCGGTTGATGTCGAACCTAGCTTTGAACAGCTCCGTTCTCTTCATAGATGCATAGCCAAGGTGAGACCTTATGAGAGATTGTTTGGTGTGGATTTATCTTTTGCTAACTGAATTGAGAGAATTCTGTATGGGTAATGCAGGTAACTGAGGAAATTGAAGCCACGCGATTCAATACTGGGATTTCTGCAATGATGGAGTTCGTAAATGCGGCCAATAAGGTTTAGTAAAACTCTGCATCCTCTCCTCTTCTTCCCATGGTTTTGGCAGTGAAGATTCCATTTACACAAGTACTTGTGGTTGCCAGTGGGACAACCTCCCAAGAAGCATAGCAGAAGCATTTGTGCTGGTGTTGGCACCATATGCGCCCCACGTGGCCGAGGAACTTTGGTTTCGTCTGGGTCATTCCAACACATTGGCGCACGCACCATTCCCGGAGGTAAACAAAAAAAGGGGAAAAGGAGGGAACGAACTTATCATTATGTGCATGGTTTAACTTGCAATGTTTGTTACAGGCGAGGTCAGAGTACCTGAAGGAGGCAAAGAAAGTGCTCCCTGTTCAGGTGAACGGGAAGACGAGGGGAACAGTGGAGGTAGACGAAGGTTGCTCGGAGGAGGAAGCGTTCCGGATTGCATCCCAGGACAGCAAGCTGTCTAGGTTCCTAGAGGGGAAGTCGATCATCAAGACGATATACGTTCAAGGAAAGATATTGAACGTGATCTTGGGCGGGAAGGGGGCCAAGCCTAAACCGAGACCCAATCCTGATGCTTCACGGATTATTGTTCAATGATAAAACCGGGAGTAGCCCAGTTTGTAAGTACAATTGTGTTCTTCTTCCTATCAGAAATGCCTAATTTGTCCCAATCATCTCTCAAATTGCTGAAGTTAGTGGGTGAAGTGGCTGTGAAGGTGGTGAGTGACGGTGGTCGCAGCCGGTCGCCACCCTCTCTGTCGAGCTCTGCGCTCCCAGAGGGCACTGATTTGCCTCTGGGAGGCAAGTGCTTCTTCGGCTGTCTCCCTGGCAACCTCGCAGGTGTCCATCCCCGCGCTGCACTTGTCAGCTTCCTTCTGATACTGTGACGTCATCTTCTTGGCCTCCAGCAAAGCCACGTCGGCCCGCTGCTGGTTCCTCACAGCCTCCGCCTCTTTCAGCTTCACTTCCTCCGCCAGGAGCTCCGTGAAATTGGACTGCGCCTCCTCGCCCACCTCCGGATCCTGCTTCTTCGTGCATTCTGTCGGGCACCATTCAAAGTCCCAGAAACTGATTCATGACAAGCAATCAAACTGCCGAATTTGAGTGATTCTAGAGCGAGAAGGTGTACCTGAGAAAGAAGTGTTGGCGCTCAGATCTGCAAACATGGAAGATGGGAAGAATTATGCAACAGGGAACGAGGAAACGCGGCATAATACAACAAAATTATTAGAGGAGATGAGATGATTTGGCTGATCACCATCAAAAAGAGAGAACAGTGGCTGAGTGGAGCAGTCGCAGAAGCAAGGTGGACAGTATGAGGAGGAAGAAGAAGAAGAAGAAGAAGAGGTGGCGGTAATGAAATCGGAGAGGTGCCAGAAGAGCGGTGGGATTACAATGTAAGCGACAAGGCAGAATCCCAGGAAAACCATCGCTGTCTTCACTGTCTTTTGTTGTTCCCTGTTCTTCATCTTTTCCTTATATTTTTCTGTTTCTTTTCTCCCTGGTTCAGATTGCCAGTTTTTTCTTATATCGTAACATAGTTGTTTGCCTCTTCCTTCGGCTTACAGTTATGATTCCGCATGTCCTTCGGAGTGAGCATCGGCAACTTTCCAATACAAATAACTCCGAGTTTTAATCCAAGCTTTGACCACGAGAATTTTCAACAAAAAAGGAGAAAGGAAGTATTACATTTTCCATATTAAAATGGGAAAGGTTTTTTCACCCCCCCCCCCCCCCCCCAAAAAAAAAGGGAAAGGTTAGAGTAAAATCCAACCTGCAAAATCTACGAAACTTGTGTCTTATCATCTGTCTTATCATCTCTGATATGAATTCTAAAATCTTTGATATGATTCCTATTAGAAATGGTAAGACACTAGGTCTGTAGCTCTTGAGATATGCGTCGTAATCCAGACCTAAAAAAATGTTGTTGATTAATTCAAGTTTTGCAGCTCTTGAGATATAATCCATGATATAGAATATTTTCTTTTTTTAATTGTAAATGATAGATGACAAGCAATGATTTTGTAATTTAGTGGGTTAAGTTTTGAACCTAAAAATTTTTAGGATTGGAAATGTGAATTCATTCATAAAAAAAAATGTGGAGTTTTTTTTTGATGATTCAGTGGGTTTTTATTTATCAAAAAGGAAAATTTTGCTAGCAACACCCTTGCTAGCTAGGGAAGGAACAGTGTCAGCCTGTTTACATCAACAAAAACAATCTTAACTAACCTCTGAAGCAGCACAAACTAGTCAATCCAAAAAGAAGTCACCCTTTCTCTTCCAAGCACAAACATAACCTCTGCTTTAATGACAACCAGAACATCAGTCAAACCCCTCGCTTTCTCCCCATACATCCTACAGCACCTTTCTCTCCACATCTGACTAACCCAGGACTGCCAGATAAGCCTTCCTGTCTCTACCTCCTCAGTTTGCTTACCAAACTTCTCAATCAACCATGAGATCATTTCCCCCCAACTCTGGAACAATGGGATCCGCAAACAACCTGCAAACAAGCTATCAAGGATCTGCCTAGTGAAAGGGCAGTGAGCAAACAAGTGCTGTCTGCTGCTCAATACCTGCACCACAGAGAACACAATGCAAGGGCCCTTGATAGCCCCATCGTTGCATCTTGTCTCTTGTGTGTATACTATCTCTGTTCACCAACCAAGTGATCAATCGATTCCTGGGAATGGCCACACCTTTCCAGAGCAGTTTCCACCAGGCAACTTTCTGCTGAGAAGGCCTTAGAAGCTGCCATACTCTCTTTATAGAGAATCTGGGCATAGGTAAGCCATCCAACAGCAAAACATCATTTCTGCTCGATATAAATGGGGCAAGTCTACTTCTGAGCTTTAATAAGTTTAACCAGTTCCAGGACCCTGAAGTACAGGTATAAGTCCACAAGCATTGCCCTTTCAACTTATATTTGTGAATCCAAGCAACCCACAGAGACCCCTCCTGCAATAAAACCTGCCAGACATGCCTTGCAGCACAAGCATAATTCCAGGTACTCATGTCCCTAAAACCAAGCCCTCCCTCTTCCTTAGGGTAGGTGATATTCTTCCAAGCCACATTGGCTCTGATTTTTACCCCTCTTTCCACTCCCCATATAAATTTACTACACAATCTTTCCACTTCTCTAATCACTGCTTTGGGAAGGAGAAAAACAGACATCCAAAACTGATTCAGACTATAGAGCACAGTACCCACCAATTCAATCCTGCCAGCATAAGACAAAGATTTGGATTTCCAAGCAGTGATTCTAGCAACTATTTTCTCTATAAGGGGTTTGCAGGCTGTTAAGCTCAGTTTTCCAGAGATCAGAGGCACCCCCAGGTACCTAACAGGGAAATCCCCCAACTTGTAGCCATATCTATCAGCTCTAACTGTCCTCTCCTCAAGTGATAACCCTCCAAAGTAAATTTCACACTTACTAGGATTAGATTTAAGGCCAGATATCTGTCTAAACTGATGCAAGATTCGTTGAAGTTCCTGAATCCCATAATTGGAGGCATCACTAAAGACCAAAAGGTCATCAGCAAAGCAAAGATGGGTGAGATTTATCCCCTTACACATGGGGTGAAAAGGAAATCTCCCAGCAGCAGCTGATTTATCAATCAAGCAAGTGAAAACTTCCATGGCAACTGTAAAAAGGTAAGGGGACAGGGGGTCTCCCTGCCTGAAACCTTTTTTTGCTGGAAAATACCCCACCAATCCACCATTAAAGCAAACACTCAACATTGGGGTACTGACACACATTCTAATCCATGTAATAAATCTCTCAGGGAACCCCACACATTTAAGAACTTGAAAAATGAATGACCAGTCCACCGAGTCAAAAGCCTTCATTAGGTCAATTTTGAGAGAACATCTAGGGGATATTTTGTTATGGGAGTACTTACTAACCAGTTCATGAGCCATTAGGATGTTTTCCCCAATTAATCTTCCTTTGACAAAGGCAGTTTGGTTTTTACTTATCAGGGCAGGGAGCAATGGGCTTAAACGATTGGCAATAAGCTTAGATATGCACTTGTACAGAATATTGCAGCATGAAATAGGCCTAAAGTTCCTCATTTCATCAGGGTTGGGGGTCTTAGGAATCAAAGCTAATATTGTGGCATTCACCTGTCTAGGCAACTTATCTTGTTCAAAACAGAATTGGATAGCAGCAGTTACCTCTGAGCCAATAACTGGCCAAGCATGTTGGAAGAAGGCCGCAGAGAAACCATCTGGACCAGGGCTTTTGTCCCCATCCATTTTGAATATGACATCTTTGATCTGCTCCTCTGTAAAAGGATCACAACAGCCTGCAGTTTGCTCCTCAGTAATCTTCCACTTCAACAACCCTGAGATATACTCATCAGTTTGGCTTACAACCTCAGAATCCTCCACCCCAAGGAGTTTTTCATAGAATTGGATTGCAATTTGGGACATCTCCTCAACATCCTGTATTTTTTCCCCCTGCTCATTTTTTAAGACTCTGATTGTACTTCTCTTTTGCCTAGTTTTTATAGATCTGTAAAAGTAGGCTGAGTTAGAATCACCTGTCTTCAACCAAGTTTCCCTTGACTTCTGGTGTAGAAAAGATTCTTCATCATAGCATAAAGCCCTCAGTTCCTGCTCCAACTGAGTCACTCTGGCAAAATTCTCAGTTGAAGGGTTTGCCAACGCCTCCTGCTGCATAACCTGAACTTCAGCTTCTTTGCCTCTAACTCTGTCCCTCAAATCCGAATACTCCACTTTATTTAATTTCCTCAACAGATTCTTCAAATTCTTTAGCTTCTTGCAGACTCTAATGAGTGGATGACCTGTCACTCTACTATGCCATGCTTCTGCCAACAAACCATCAAATTTAGGATGCCTAATCCAGAATTTGAAAATTTTGAATGGTTTGGGCAAGGTCTTCATGGAAGCATTAGTGTCAACATACAGGGGACAGTGATCTGAAACCCCAGGGGTTTGGATATGGACTTTACTATCCTTCACCTTGTCTAACCATTCAAAGTTCACAAGCACCCTGTCAAGTCTCTTGGCTATTGGGTTTGCAGACTGCTTATTCAGCCAAGTAAACCAAGGCCCTGTGGCCTGATGCTCTTCCAACTCCAGCTCATTAATCCAGGCATTGAACACCATCATTTTAGAATTAGCTGCTGGAGAGTTAGATGCCTCTGCAGGATTTCTGACATCATTGAAGTCCCCCAAAACAATCCATGGAGCCTGTGCCACTTGAATTCTCTTCAACTCATTATAAAGCTCCCTCCTACTATTCTCTTCATTTGAAGCATATACCACAGTACCAAAAAATATTTGCTGCCCTCCTACCATAAACTGAATAAATTGATCAGAAGCATGTAAGACAGTAAGCTGAATTTCACTCTTCCAGAGTAACCATATCCTCCCCAGGCCACTAGAATTGTGCTGAATTCTCTTCTTCCAATCTGGGAATCTCTTCTCAACTAGTTTGTCTGTTTCAGAGGATCTTATTCTAGGTTCTAATATTGCTACTATATCTATACTATATTTGTAGACACCACTTTTTGTCCGGGTTAAAACCTTTTTACTTAAATAAAATTTAGTTTTTATTGAAGATTTGCAATAGCGAGTTAATTGATTTTCAAGCTAAAACATATTGATATTGCTCGAGATTGGTCGTGGTCGCCATAACTTGACGAGATTAAGCAATAGCAAATCTTGATCGATACGATTCGATGGTGAGAGTCAGCTTCTTTTGCTTTGATTAGACGAGCGAGACATGGACTTCATTTTGTTATCATATGAGCTCGATTATTTTCTTAAAACGGTGGGTCTAGTGAGGATTGGACTCAACTTTGGAACATTAAAGATAAAGAAGTAAAATAACAATCTTATTAAAATAAATTCCAATTACATGTACAGATACATTACTACAAAGTTGTTACATAAATGACCTTTAAAACTGTATAAATAAAAGAAATTGGGCTCAAGTCAAAGCCCAACCAAAGAGGCAACTGTCAACAAAAGTCAAAGCTGGCCAAACTGATCCGTTGACCTGTTCTGACCTAACCCATGACCAATCGAACCCAAAACCCAAACCTGGTCCAACCAATGACCCAAACCCGGTCAGACCAAATTGGGTATTCTAGCTTGCTTGCTGCCTAAGCAGCCTCTTTCTATAAAAAGAGCCCTTTGGGCACTTACAACGGGGGGCTTCTCTGAAAAACCAAACTCTGCAAAAGCACCCCCTGCAGACTCCCTCTCTTCTTCTTCTTCTTCATCTCTTGATCATTCCCAAACTCCTTCCCTTCCAAAACACACAGCCACAGCCTGAAACCCTCTTCCACTTCTTCCACCTTCTTTTTCCAACCACAAGCCCACCACAAAGAGACAACTTCTTCTTAACGAAACTCTGCAGAAACAGGGACACCCTCTTAACCCCAACAGAAACAGAGCAGAACAGAGAGAACAAAACTCTGCAAAATCCCACTTCCACTCATTTCTTCTTCTTTCTTTTAGCAACACACAAAACATACACAAGGAAAAGAGATAGCAATAAGACAATCTCATTCTACTTCCTTCTACTCTTAGCCGATACACCACACACACAAACAGAAGCCAAAAACAAATCCAAAAAGGACAACAAAAAAAACCTCACTACAAACATCCTCCCCTGCCGCCAACATCAGCAAAAGCACAAAGGAGGTAGCGGACAAAGAAGCTCAGAGAATCAAGGAGAGGGAGAATCATCACCCAAACAACAAAAAAGGTCAAAAAGGTTGGTAGTCACTAAAAATCATAAATCATCATCCAGTATCCATATAATGCTTAATCCAAGCTGTACAAATCGACTTAGATCTCTAAAAGCAATCCAGCTAAAATTAACTCCAACCAAATTATAAGATGGTTAATCTCACCACCATGATAACAAAATAAACAAACAAATCGGATTTTTTCTTGCTTTCTTTACAAGTTCATTATAGTTCTTTCTATACCTATATATTAGCTTTTGTCATCTACTTCATTGTTTCCACTTATCAGTATTTCCATTGATCAATCATATCACATGTTAGAAGCTACACGTTTCCTATATGTGTTTCGTTTTAGTAGTTTTACTTAGCTTTCCACCACATATACAACTAAGCTAACATCAAAACACATAAGCTACAATAAACTTATAGAAATCTCAGATTTGAAAGATACCATATTCGCACAAAATTCCAGTTATAAACACAAGATTTCCATATGATTTTTCAAGCCATAAACTTCAAAATCCAAAAATTACTATGAACACCATAAACTTATAAACTAAACCCACTTTACCAAAACCATAAACACTCGTAGAGAGCATAGTCTCAAACCAAGACTAGCAACTACCATGATTTCTCAAATTATAGTCCAAAACCAACCCCAAACCGAACACCATTATCACAAAGCTAATTTCCAGATTCACACTTACACGTACCATCAATCCCCAAATTTAAACCCATAATACACAACGATACAGATATGTAAACCCATTTTTAAACCACTAGATAGGAAATCTTACGCTTACAAACAACCATATTCGCAAATAAAAACAGTTATAAGCACAAACTTCCAAAACCAAAACTTTCCACCACAAACGCTTCTATAACCAAAAGTACAAACCACAAACCGAATTTCCAGGTTATTAAGCTCCATCACCAACCATAAACGCAGAAATCCCAGCACTACCATAAAACCTCATATTTTCATATTCAGACCCACAATCTATCACATAAATACCAACTTTCTGGAGTTCCATACCATGAAAAGAAATTTTCAGGACTATAAACCACCACTAGCGAATCAAACCCAGCTAAGAAACGACCCAGAGAAACAAAAGCTTACCAAAACAGAGTTCACTCATCTTGTCTTTGTCGCCGCCGGAGAAGCTCGGAGCTGCCGTTGTTGACCCTCTTTCCTTCCTTCGCCCTTTCCTCGTCCCCCTTTCAACAAAACCCAAAAAAAGGAGCGAAATCAGAATCCAATCGAAGAGTAAATAAACCAAAAATTAAAAAGAGGGGTCGAAACCCTCACCCGTCACTGCCAGGCCTCTGTCGTCGGCCACCTTATCTCCTTCGTCCAATCACAAATCAGAAGCCCCAACTGACGATATGCCGGCGGTGCCGAGAGTGAAACGTCGGCGCCTGCTCCATCTCCTCCTTCCTTTCCCACTCACCTCCATCAAAAACCCAGGAAATTTATTCAGAACCCCCAAACCTAGCAAAATCGAACCTTAAAATCAACATGCAACCTTTTAAAGAAAGCTTACTTTCGTCGTTGTCTTCGCCGGCGACCACCTGGTTACAGTGGCCGTCGATCTGCCTGTCGTCGGGCCCTCTACTCGTCTCGACAAAGAGGAGGAGAGATGGTGTTTTGGGCGAGACGAGAAAGAGAGCAAGTCGGAGATAGGATCGGAAGGGAGAAACAGAAGGAAGAGCGAATTGAGATTTGGTTTGTCTGGATTTTCTTTCTTCATTTCGGTTTTGCCATGGGAGAAGAGAGGAGCGGCGGAAATAAGCTAGGGTTAGGGTTTGTGTTACTAACCACAATTATATCCTCTGCCCGCTAAAACGACCCCGACGTCGTCGTTTGACGCGTTTACCACCAAAAACGACCCGAGAGAGTCCAAAACGCAAATAAAAAAATATATGCTCTTCTAGGATCGAACCGTCGACCTACAGTCAAGTTCATTTTTCAGTCAATAATTTAAACCACTAGGCTGGTCGCCTACCAGTTGTACACAAATTAATCTCAGTTAAATTGAACTTAAATAACCATAATACTGATTTCTATAAGAATCATTAACTTCATTTGAATTAGTTTCCTGCATACGTATGTTTCTTTTCTAAAAATCCTTAATACGAAAAGACATGCTCGCTAGAACGTGAGATCATGTAACCAATAAATAATTAAGTCATCACACTAATATTATCTTCAAAGAAGAAATGCAATATCTAAACTTACACGATCAATAGAAAGTGTAAGGTTTTCTCTTTTCAAAACCGATCAATATCATCGAACTACGTGGACTTTGATCCCGATTAAATCGGGTACGTAGGCAACCAATAGGTTCGAGTCCAACTAACTAAAAAACCTCTTTCTTTAATTTTGAGATTTTACATCAATAGATGTATGCTCAAATTGTAATAACAAAATACTTAAATTAATCGAATACAATCATTCGCAATAAGCTACAAATAATAATACACCCAACCTTTAAAAACTTATCGATTTAGGTAGTACCCATTTGGGGCGTTGTGGGGTGTGAATACACTTCCCCACATGTAACCGTACTCCCGAACCTAGAACAATCTAAAATTCGCAGACCAGAATTCTGGTTTTAACAAAAAAATTAAAACCGGAAAATGGTGTTCGACCCACCCCAAAGCACGGTCGATGGCGACTCCGATCTATTCGCGACGGATTCCCCCGATCGCGAGGGGGCGGTTGCGACAATATTTATTAATCTTCTTTAGTATAGCTGTATACTTACCCTCTGCCTTAAAACCTCTTGTGTTCCAGGTAAGGATTTTCATCTCTTACCCCTTCCCTTTCCACCTTTTCCTCCTCTCCTTGGTTGAATAGGCACCAGAGGAGAATCAACCCAAACTCTCTTTCCCTTGTCAATTAATGGCTGCCTGTTCTCCTTCCCTTTATCCCCCTGAGATGCCTGTGAGCAAAGATTCCCAGTTAATGGTGACCTACTGCTTACAGACGATTGTTCAACAGCAACAGGACTCCCACCTAGAGGTGATGATCCCATCACTATTTGAACAAAGCTCAGAGGGGAGCCCCCAATAGAAAGGCCAGGGACCACATCAGTCTTAGCACTAGTCTGAGAGTCTAAATCAGCACCCTGTATCACTGACTCCCTCCCTTCCTCAGTACCAGGACCATGCTCAGTATCTATCTCAACCTCCATCACAACACCTGTTTCCTCAGCCCTTGAAACCAACTCCCCACCAGCTGCAGCAGTTGCATCAGCATCCAGTACTTCCTCTTCATCACTTTACATCTCATTCGCCGCAACACCCTGAGATTCAGCAGCCTCATTGTATTTAATTATTTGCATTCATTCATGAAAGCTCTATACCCGAGCTATCCCTTTAGAAAGTGAAAGGAGTAGCGTGACTTCTACAATAGTAGGGGAATAACGTGAAACTTTCTAACCAAGTTGAACTCAAATCCGAGGTTGATTTGAGGTATCTGGCTAACTCGAAAGAGTTATAGTTGGATACAACTTGGGAGCCAATTCTTAGGAACTTCTCACCCAACATATAGTCACCTTATAAAGCCGTCCAAAACTTATCCAAGAGCCTACCTTAAACCTCATAGTTAAATCATCCAAGAACTTAAGGTTTGTGTAATCGGTGTCATGTTTGTTATACTTTTGATGCATGTTTGCCTATAACTTGATAAATTGTGCTTTATCAGTTATTCATAAATTATGTGGGTCAATTATACGCAAAAAAATTTCTAATCTTTTATTATCATTCTCCATTTAGCTCTTGTGTAATTATCAAATGAATTTCACAAGTATTCATGTATCCACCAAAAATCTATATTGCATACCACATTCATATCATTTAGCATGATTATCATACATTCATCTCATTTATCAACATTGCGGAATTTAACCATAATAAATCAAGAATTCTCTAAAATTGTTCATCCACGAGGATAAAGTCAACCCCTATGTACCAGATCCAAGGTTGTGCTCATTCTAGATGAAATTCGATGACAGCAAAAGAAGTCAACGGTACCTGGAAAAAATGAAATGACAAGTTGCTATGATCGCAAGGAATCTATCAGAAATTTTGAAGAAATTATTCGTTCAAACATCAATAACCCATGCCCAATCACGGAGATCAGTAAGCCTACTATAAGATCGAGCTTGATTTGAAGATGATGTAGCCCTGCATAATCAAATAAATGTGAGATACTTCACCATATTGAAGAAATGTACCAGCATTTGCTTCATACTAAGGAATAAAGAGTTGTTTGTATTTCCATATGTTTGGGACATTGTGTAATTGCTACCAATCTAGATTTAGATGTTTGCATCAATGGTCCTTTTCTTTTCAAAATGATTGCATCTCTTCAAGATATTTTTTTAAAAATGAATTTTGCTCCTCTGAAATGGGAACCTTAAAATTGCATTTCATGTTTCCAAGTTAAGCCATGAGATTTTCATATTAAGAAAATATATACATCCCACTGGTGTCGAGTGATTATAAACACTTCATGAGTGTCAAAACTTTTGCACCCCACTAATAATCAGATTGTGCACACCTTACTGGTATCGAGAGTTTGAGCACCCCAATGGTGTTGAGAGTGTAAACACCCCACTGGTGTCCATAAATAATGCGAGCTAAATAGTCAAAGGGTGTAACGAGGATACGAAACTAGGCTGCTTATAGAAGCTTGTCAATACCATAACCGATATCATCTATCAAATTAAGGCTCGATTAGAAAGGAGGTTGATTATCCAAATCATGGTCCATAACCACCGATATGCCGACATCATAATAGCCAAATTCTCACAAAGCCCAAACGGCCAGAAGATTGAGGAGGTTGAATGATCCAATTTGACAAACTCACATCATCAGTTGAGGTTTTAAGGAGACAAGAAGCCTCGTTGTCCAAATGTCTACATTCCAAAATCTGAATTGTGGGATATTCAAGCGCAAAAAGCGTTCAAACGAAGAGTCCACATACAAAAAGGAATTCTTCAAAAAAAAAAAAAAGGAATGGCCTATTCACCATAGCCAACAAGAAGAAGCTCCCACAAAGGTCGACATATTGACAAGTTTCTAACATTTTGATGCTCGTACACAGATTCGGAAGAGTCAAAATGACAACAAGTATGGGGCATAACAAAGTCAAGTAAGTCCCGCAAAAAAAAATGCAAGGAAAAGAAAATCATAATAAAAAAATAGAAAAGCTTTTGGGACTTACATATTATATGCCCCTTACATGAGCATTTGAAGTAAAAACCATTCAGACTCGTGACGAAAAATTGTTGGCTACCTCTGCTAATAGGCCTAAGAGATCATTTTGGGTTTACCTCAGGAGTGCGCAGTGCTCATCCTCTCAGTTGGCAGGGTCTATACACTCAAGTGAAACTATACATCAAATTAATCAGCCTTCCAAGCTGAAAGGGCATTTGTCTCCCAAGTGCGAAGAAATAACACAAGAAACCCTTAAAAGGAAGGGCCCCCAAGCCAAAAATGTCAGCATACGCTTAAAGTACATCCCTATGATCATCCTCATTATCAATCACTTGAAGTCTCACATTCAAGTCAAACAAGAATCCCCATGATAGAAGACTTTGACGACCATCACTACATCGTACAAGGGTTTTCAGCATTCATCATTTCGAGATCCGATGAGAAGTCAAAGTTTGCGTCATACCCATATCTCCTTACCCATCCTTTTGAGGTCAAACATGGATCTCAACAAGTGAGAATATTTCCATAATCAAATTTTCTACTCAAATGATCTTGGATACTGATTACTCAACCCCACCTCTCCGAACCAAGTTTCAAGACAAGGGGGCAACTTGAGCCAAATATATATCCACAAAGATGCCTGAGATGAGCCACCATTCTCGATTAAAATGAAACTTCCTCGACAAAGATCTCCTCAATCCATCAGTTGATCTCATACTTTGGGGGCAAGCCAAATATCCCTCCACAAGAAACTTTTTACGACAAGAAGGGATGATCTCATATTTCCATCAACCCGTCTCATACCTTGGGGACAAGCCAAATATCCTTCAACACGAAGTTTCACATGACTAAAGTCAAATTCCATATAAATTTCCTTTACCCTCCTCTCATTTGGGGAAAGTAAACTTCTCAAAACACGAGAACTCTTACGATTGGAACCCATATAGAAAAAGAGCCTCATTTCTGGAAAATTCAAGAAATCCCACAACAAGACCATACAAAGATCGCTCGAACTCTCCATGATCATCAAACCTAGTCCTCAAGCGCATTTATCCATCAAAATGATGACCAAAATCTTGATAGTAGCCGAAGTGTCGTATACTCGAAGCACCCATAGGAATGAGTGAGAGTGAAATTGACCGTAAAAGTGAGAATGAAAGCGAGGGCTTATGGATATTCTCATGGCTTGGCTTATAAAAAAGGTTTTTAAACAACGTGGCAATAACCACACAAGAACTAATTTTTCTCAAATTGCACACACTTCTCTAAAGCAAGGCTTTGATTTCTATAATTATGTTCCCATTACGCTTTCTGAAACGAGATTTTACAAACATTGTTTGCATTCATCTTAAGTCAAGATTGGCAAAAGTTACACTTTGTTTTAAGGAGTGGGAAGCAAGTAACATCTTCTCGGGGGCAAATTGGTGCAACCCAGCAAAGAAAGAAGTTCAAACACTCAGAAAGTGGGTTTCCTAACTCTCCAAATCATGAGCAAACAAGAAACCTTAGAGATATTGAATCACTCCGTTCAAGCTATCCTACTAGTCAGTCAAATCATCCTTAAAGCGGCTTGGATAAAAGGGACTCATGACTACCTATATACCATGATTACTCAAGAGAAGAAGCGTAGAACCGTAACTTGAGCAACAAGCAACCCAGAGCTGGCACCAACAGGACATACCTGAAGATAGAAGTGCCCAAATAACAAGATACAACCTATAGGATGAAGAACCTCAAAACCTCACAAGTCCAACTACTCATGTTTCCCACCACTTCATGAAGAGATGCCAAGATACCCCTATTTTATTGGGCCAACGGGTCAAGCAAACTATCCTTCGACGAAGTATTTTCTATCTCACACCCCCGGAGGAGGCAATCAAGCATGTCTAGAAAACCGACATCAACAAGACAATACCCCGAAATGACAAATTCCTCTTCCACGAAATGCTCGCATATCAAGAAGATCGAACTAAAAGATGACTTTATATCGAGGCCACCATGCTACAAAAAACCTCCTGAAACATCAACCTACCAAGAACATCTCATGAATAAGAAAATCATATGGCTAACACATCAGCCACTCAAGCACTAGTGTCCGAGGTGGACAAAGTAGAGGACCAACCTTTCACCAAGTTCCAGAAATGCCATACCTTGTGCTCACTGAGTATATAAAAGAGGATAAACTAGATGGCAAGCCCAGTACCTCGAGATAGTGACACACGCCAACGGAAGAAAGCACCCATGTCGACAGTATATGCTACCCCATCGCGAGCACGACCAAGGATCAAGTTTACTAAAAGGGAATGACATATTTTCCTTGTAGATGATCGATTTAAGAGAATCCATGAAAAAAAACATCAAGACCATGTTGAGGGATTATACTCTTTCTTTTGCATACCCTTGAGACATCATCCTATAACTCATCATACAACCTTTTTCGAATGCACTTCACACGCATCGAATGGCATCATTCTCGATGCACTTCAAACTCATCATATGGCATCATCTCAAAAAATTCATAGCCAAATTGAATATCATTCATTCTCAAAATTCATTTAAAGTAGATGTACCCTTCCAACATATCTCATCACAACATTGCATCATATCATATGACAAAATACCTTGCATTGCACATCATGGTGAAGTCAAATTCAAATCTTTACCAATATCAAGTTTGGCACATACCTAAGATCTACCTAAGACTTTACCAATTGCTTGTTTCAACCACTCGTGATCAAGTTAAACTTTCACATATCCTCGTGAATTTTACCACCATGATACACATGATCAAACAGGCTATACCGCCACAAAAAAAAATTCAAATCAGGCTATATTGCCACGAACAAAACCCCGTTTAAGCTATACCACCATGGGAACGAGAAGAACCAAACCAGGCTATACCGCCAAGGAACCAACCAAACCAAATCAGGTTATAACGCCATGGGGGCAACATAGACCAACATCAGGCTATACCGCTATGGGACCACGAATCCCAACTAGTTTGAACCACCATGTTAACAAAACCCAAATCAGGCTCTACCGCCATGGGACAAAAAAAACTAAACAAGTCCATACTCTAAACCAGGCCATACCGCCATGAGAGTAAGCAAGTCCTTTTTGCTATACCGCATGGGAACAAACAAGCTATATCGTCGCTTGAATTGATTGATACTTTGTTTAGCTTTTAACAATATCTAAACCGGCAAAAAATGGTGATTTCAGATAACTTTGTATACCTCTCATATACCAAGAGATATACAAAGGGGGGGCAACTGTAGACACCACTTTTTGTCCGGGTTAAAACCTTTTTACTTAAATAAAATTTAGTTTTTATTGAAGATTTGCAATAGCGAGTTAATTGATTTTCAAGCTAAAACATATTGATATTGCTCGAGATTGGTCGTGGTCGCCATAACTTGACTAGATTAAGCAATAGCAAATCTTGATCGATACGATTCGATGGTGAGAGTCAGCTTCTTTTGCTTTGATTAGACGAGCGAGACATGGACTTCATTTTGTTATCATATGAGCTCGATTATTTTCTTAAAACGGTGGGTCTAGTGAGGATTGGACTCAACTTTGGAACATTAAAGATAAAGAAGTAAAATAACAATCTTATTAAAATAAATTCCAATTACATGTACAGATACATTACTACAAAGTTGTTACATAAATGACCTTTAAAACTGTATAAATAAAAGAAATTGGGCTCAAGTCAAAGCCCAACCAAAGAGGCAACTGTCAACAAAAGTCAAAGCTGGCCAAACTGATCCGTTGACCTGTTCTGACCTAACCCATGACCAATCGAACCCAAAACCCAAACCTGGTCCAACCAATGACCCAAACCCGGTCAGACCAAATTGGGTATTCTAGCTTGCTTGCTGCCTAAGCAGCCTCTTTCTATAAAAAGAGCCCTTTGGGCACTTACAACGGGGGGCTTCTCTGAAAAACCAAACTCTGCAAAAGCACCCCCTGCAGACTCCCTCTCTTCTTCTTCTTCATCTCTTGATCATTCCCAAACTCCTTCCCTTCCAAAACACACAGCCACAGCCTGAAACCCTCTTCCACTTCTTCCACCTTCTTTTTCCAACCACAAGCCCACCACAAAGAGACAACTTCTTCTTAACGAAACTCTGCAGAAACAGGGACACCCTCTTAACCCCAACAGAAACAGAGCAGAACAGAGAGAACCATGGTTGTCACGCCGGCCGGCGTGCCACCGGTTGTACCTGGTTCAACCGATACCGGTCATAAAACCGGCGTGACACCACCGGTATGACCGGCATGATCGATATACGAATCTCCAAGTAAAATGACCTTATTTTAGTGAATTTAATTGATAAAAATTATTTTATTATTTATTTTATGAGTATAAAAGTTAAATATTGTTGTTATTTGTTGAATTCAAGTATAAATGTTTAGGTATTGACGTTAATGTCATGTTTCAATATGAGTATTTATAATTTTATTTTTAATATTGACCGGCATGAACCGGCACAAACCGGTATGTGCCACCGGTCGAACCATTCCACATGCTAGACCGGCACACTGGCATAAACCGGTTTGACAACCTTGGAGAGAACAAAACTCTGCAAAATCCCACTTCCACTCATTTCTTCTTCTTTCTTTTAGCAACACACAAAACATACACAAGGAAAAGAGATAGCAATAAGACAATCTCATTCTACTTCCTTCTACTCTTAGCCGATACACCACACACACAAACAGAAGCCAAAAACAAATCCAAAAAGGACAACAAAAAAAACCTCACTACAAACATCCTCCCCTGCCGCCAACATCAGCAAAAGCACAAAGGAGGTAGCGGACAAAGAAGCTCAGAGAATCAAGGAGAGGGAGAATCATCACCCAAACAACAAAAAAGGTCAAAAAGGTTGGTAGTCACTAAAAATCATAAATCATCATCCAGTATCCATATAATGCTTAATCCAAGCTGTACAAATCGACTTAGATCTCTAAAAGCAATCCAGCTAAAATTAACTCCAACCAAATTATAAGATGGTTAATCTCACCACCATGATAACAAAATAAACAAACAAATCGGATTTTTTCTTGCTTTCTTTACAAGTTCATTATAGTTCTTTCTATACCTATATATTAGCTTTTGTCATCTACTTCATTGTTTCCACTTATCAGTATTTCCATTGATCAATCATATCACATGTTAGAAGCTACACGTTTCCTATATGTGTTTCGTTTTAGTAGTTTTACTTAGCTTTCCACCACATATACAACTAAGCTAACATCAAAACACATAAGCTACAATAAACTTATAGAAATCTCAGATTTGAAAGATACCATATTCGCACAAAATTCCAGTTATAAACACAAGATTTCCATATGATTTTTCAAGCCATAAACTTCAAAATCCAAAAATTACTATGAACACCATAAACTTATAAACTAAACCCACTTTACCAAAACCATAAACACTCGTAGAGAGCATAGTCTCAAACCAAGACTAGCAACTACCATGATTTCTCAAATTATAGTCCAAAACCAACCCCAAACCGAACACCATTATCACAAAGCTAATTTCCAGATTCACACTTACACGTACCATCAATCCCCAAATTTAAACCCATAATACACAACGATACAGATATGTAAACCCATTTTTAAACCACTAGATAGGAAATCTTACGCTTACAAACAACCATATTCGCAAATAAAAACAGTTATAAGCACAAACTTCCAAAACCAAAACTTTCCACCACAAACGCTTCTATAACCAAAAGTACAAACCACAAACCGAATTTCCAGGTTATTAAGCTCCATCACCAACCATAAACGCAGAAATCCCAGCACTACCATAAAACCTCATATTTTCATATTCAGACCCACAATCTATCACATAAATACCAACTTTCTGGAGTTCCATACCATGAAAAGAAATTTTCAGGACTATAAACCACCACTAGCGAATCAAACCCAGCTAAGAAACGACCCAGAGAAACAAAAGCTTACCAAAACAGAGTTCACTCATCTTGTCTTTGTCGCCGCCGGAGAAGCTCGGAGCTGCCGTTGTTGACCCTCTTTCCTTCCTTCGCCCTTTCCTCGTCCCCCTTTCAACAAAACCCAAAAAAAGGAGCGAAATCAGAATCCAATCGAAGAGTAAATAAACCAAAAATTAAAAAGAGGGGTCGAAACCCTCACCCGTCACTGCCAGGCCTCTGTCGTCGGCCACCTTATCTCCTTCGTCCAATCACAAATCAGAAGCCCCAACTGACGATATGCCGGCGGTGCCGAGAGTGAAACGTCGGCGCCTGCTCCATCTCCTCCTTCCTTTCCCACTCACCTCCATCAAAAACCCAGGAAATTTATTCAGAACCCCCAAACCTAGCAAAATCGAACCTTAAAATCAACATGCAACCTTTTAAAGAAAGCTTACTTTCGTCGTTGTCTTCGCCGGCGACCACCTGGTTACAGTGGCCGTCGATCTGCCTGTCGTCGGGCCCTCTACTCGTCTCGACAAAGAGGAGGAGAGATGGTGTTTTGGGCGAGACGAGAAAGAGAGCAAGTCGGAGATAGGATCGGAAGGGAGAAACAGAAGGAAGAGCGAATTGAGATTTGGTTTGTCTGGATTTTCTTTCTTCATTTCGGTTTTGCCATGGGAGAAGAGAGGAGCGGCGGAAATAAGCTAGGGTTAGGGTTTGTGTTACTAACCACAATTATATCCTCTGCCCGCTAAAACGACCCCGACGTCGTCGTTTGACGCGTTTACCACCAAAAACGACCCGAGAGAGTCCAAAACGCAAATAAAAAAATATATGCTCTTCTAGGATCGAACCGTCGACCTACAGTCAAGTTCATTTTTCAGTCAATAATTTAAACCACTAGGCTGGTCGCCTACCAGTTGTACACAAATTAATCTCAGTTAAATTGAACTTAAATAACCATAATACTGATTTCTATAAGAATCATTAACTTCATTTGAATTAGTTTCCTGCATACGTATGTTTCTTTTCTAAAAATCCTTAATACGAAAAGACATGCTCGCTAGAACGTGAGATCATGTAACCAATAAATAATTAAGTCATCACACTAATATTATCTTCAAAGAAGAAATGCAATATCTAAACTTACACGATCAATAGAAAGTGTAAGGTTTTCTCTTTTCAAAACCGATCAATATCATCGAACTACGTGGACTTTGATCCCGATTAAATCGGGTACGTAGGCAACCAATAGGTTCGAGTCCAACTAACTAAAAAACCTCTTTCTTTAATTTTGAGATTTTACATCAATAGATGTTTGCTCAAATTGTAATAACAAAATACTTAAATTAATCGAATACAATCATTCGCAATAAGCTACAAATAATAATACACCCAACCTTTAAAAACTTATCGATTTAGGTAGTACCCATTTGGGGCGTTGTGGGGTGTGAATACACTTCCCCACATGTAACCGTACTCCCGAACCTAGAACAATCTAAAATTCGCAGACCAGAATTCTGGTTTTAACAAAAAAATTAAAACCGGAAAATGGTGTTCGACCCACCCCAAAGCACGGTCGATGGCGACTCCGATCTATTCGCGACGGATTCCCCCGATCGCGAGGGGGCGGTTGCGACAATATTTATTAATCTTCTTTAGTATAGCTGTATACTTACCCTCTGCCTTAAAACCTCTTGTGTTCCAGGTAAGGATTTTCATCTCTTACCCCTTCCCTTTCCACCTTTTCCTCCTCTCCTTGGTTGAATAGGCACCAGAGGAGAATCAACCCAAACTCTCTTTCCCTTGTCAATTAATGGCTGCCTGTTCTCCTTCCCTTTATCCCCCTGAGATGCCTGTGAGCAAAGATTCCCAGTTAATGGTGACCTACTGCTTACAGACGATTGTTCAACAGCAACAGGACTCCCACCTAGAGGTGATGATCCCATCACTATTTGAACAAAGCTCAGAGGGGAGCCCCCAATAGAAAGGCCAGGGACCACATCAGTCTTAGCACTAGTCTGAGAGTCTAAATCAGCACCCTGTATCACTGACTCCCTCCCTTCCTCAGTACCAGGACCATGCTCAGTATCTATCTCAACCTCCATCACAACACCTGTTTCCTCAGCCCTTGAAACCAACTCCCCACCAGCTGCAGCAGTTGCATCAGCATCCAGTACTTCCTCTTCATCACTTTACATCTCATTCGCCGCAACACCCTGAGATTCAGCAGCCTCATGGTTCTCCCCTTCCTCTGCACCCTCACCAACTACTCCACACTCAGAAGCCAACACCCCTTGACTACCATCCTCAGCATTACCCTGCACATCCCCCACCAATTCACCATCCTTAACCTTCCACTGCTGCACAGGCTCCTGCACACAGCTATGACCAAAGACCCGACACTTAGAACAGACTTTCGGAAGATGAGAGTACCCCAAACCGATTTCAAAAGCAGAGTCGTTATCAGGGTAGAAACGAGCCTTGTCCGGAAATTCACAATCAGCTGCAATTTCCACACAAACTTTCGCAAACCCCAATTGCGCACCTACCCTAGTCTTCTGATCAGTCCAAAGCGGCTTCCCAATTACACTGGCAACCCATTCAACCCCATCACTGCCCAGGTATTCCAGTGGCAACCCTCTAATCGTGACCCAGATCGGCAACGTTTCGACTTGAGGGACAATTGGCTGGATGCCCACTTCCCATTTCCTGAAAAAAATTGGGTTCCCTCTGAAATGCCACGGACCTGAAGTAAAGACCCACTCGCACGACGAAGAGGAAGGGAACTGAAAAATCAGCAGCCGCGGACCAAATCGCGAGACCCTCACTGTGCCATCTCTCCCCCAAAGCTTATTCGTCCATGACTGGAGCTCAGCTACCTCCGGACGCTTCCCGACGAACTGCCCCACCAGGGAATCCCGCCATCGCAAAGCGCCCTTCTCCTTGACCTCTTTCGGAATCCTAAACCCATCGTTAACTCGCTTTGGTGGCCTGAAGGTGAGTTGCTTCTCTGGAGCAACAGCAAACAGACTTACCCAGGATGAAGAGCCCTCGCCAGCCGGAGAAGCCGGCGAGGCAGCCATCGCCAATCTAGGTTTCTTTAGAGAACGAGAGGAGAGAGAAAGAAGGAGAGAGAAATATGACCTAACCTTGTCCCTTCTAGTTTTATCGCAAAAAATGTGGATTACATTTGAAAGTAGGATGATTAAAATGGTTTAGTGAAAGGTGTTTAAGATATTTTTGTTGAATCTTGGCATTTCACGGGAAGAACTGGGAAGCTTGTTGTTTGAAACTGAGACATGGGGAAAAAAATAGTGTTGTGAGTCAGCATCTTATGAAATTGTTGTTTTATTCGTGATTGGAGGAAAAAATCCATTCATGTTTGAGTATTCCAATTGGTTGGAACTCTTCTCCCACGCGTCATATTAAGGTGGTAAATTGGTTCAACTTAATTGAAATGAATAATTGATCATAAACTATATTTGAGCCCGTCCGTTGGTCGGATAAATTACATCAAAAGCTTATAAAATAATAGTAATTACTCAAATTATTTATTTAGTACCATGAAAAAAACACAAATTATTCAGTTACTAAACATATAAAAAAAATTACATACATCATAAGTTTTACATCTTCATCATTCATGGACAAAAGTGTTTATAAAAAATAAACACCATAACTCATGCAGGGATTCAATTGATAAAAATTAAATATTTGAAACGCACTTCACTTTAGTTTTGATGTTAGAAATTATTGTTGATTTCCTTTTGGATTTCTTTTTGATTGCTCCACCATCAAAAGCATCTTATCCATACAATTTCATCTTCATGAATGAAACTTCATATTCAGCATAAAAAAATCTCTTCCTTCTTTTCCTACATTACATTAAAATCAAATTTTAATGGTAAAATGTATGAAAATGTGAAACATCTTTTCATGATAGAATAATTTCACCTCACCCAAATCATAAATATTATCAACCATTCAATCCTTACTCCCATCTTTGAAATTTCTATATCCACCAACAATAATCTCTTCCTTTATCTCAATAACGTAATTATCTACATCATTGAATTCACGACCTCTGTTGTTAACATACTCTTCCTTCTACTCCCGCATTTCACTGAATGCAAAAATCTATTGGCAAAATTTTTAGAATTGTGGAATTTTATATTCAATAACTTAAATTTACCAAGTATATGTCATGAACTTTATCTAAGATTGCTCTTCTTCACCCTTAATTATCTTCAAAATATGTACCCACTAATGGGGTTCGCGGATGTTGTAATTGGTGAGGTTGAGCTGAAATCAACTTCATGCTCTCGGTTTGGGTGGGTTAAGGAGGTGAAAGTTCTCTCATTTTGCCAATATCTATGAGTAGTTTCTCTTAACACATTCCAAAAGATCTAGCGCATTCGCGATACAAACAAATAAAGTTAGATTAAACAATGTTGTCTCCAACACGCAGATGGTCCTGAATCTATAAAATAACAACAATTGAGATACACTATTTGGTCGAAAACTTTTTGTTTTAGTCGGTACTTTGTTTTCTCTCGAATGAATGAACTTGAAGTTGAAAACAACAAAAAAGTAAAGGTAAATTGTTTACTTAACTACCGTTGTCTTTGATGTTGTTGTATAATTCTTATAAATTTAGTTATCGTAGTTTTCTTCAACTTTCTTTGGCAAGTTTCAATTAATATGTTTTTCTAACCCAAATTCTTTTGAAATAAGAGTTGAGATGAATGAGATATAATTTGCATATTGTGAACATTTGGAAAGCTCATAATTATAGCTCGGGATTTGTGTCAGTTATAACTAAATGAAGTTATGCACCAAAATTTCATCCCTTTTACTTAATTGTTTGAAGGTCATATTGGAGTCTAGAGCCCTGTTTTGTTAATTAGATGATTCTCCAATGTTAATATTTTTTCAAGACATAGAATCAATAAATAGAGTACTTAATAAACATATGAATTAGCTTAAAAATAAAAATAATACTGAAATAGGAATAGAACAACAAAGTAATATGTCAGTACATTCAGTTAAACCAATGCCAATGATTCTTTATTGGAGCAAATATCAACAACCACCATTTCATCCGACATACGTCTTTTTTATTTTCCAATGGATTTCCAGGTTTCATTAATGGAAATTTTTTGATGTAGTGGGTAATAGCTCTGGTTGCTCGTTGTTCAAGAATTCTTGTTTGGCCAGTTCATAAAGGAATTTTTTATAAGAATTATCTTCGCACACATTCCAAAAGACCTGTATCCTTCGTGATACAAACAAATAAAGCTAGATTAAACAATATTGTCTACAACACGCAGCTACTTTTTAATATATAAAATAACAACAATTGAGATACACTATTTGGTCAAAACCTTTTTATTTTTGTGGGTACTTTGTTTTCTCTCGAATGAATGAACTTGAGGTTGAAAACAACAAAAGAGTAAAGGTAAATTGTTTACCTAACTAATATTGTCTTTGATGTTGTTGTATAATTCTTATAAAATTACTCATCATAGTCTTCTTCAACTTTTCTTTTGCAAGTTTCAATTAATATGATTTTATAACCCAAATTCTTTTGAAATCAGAGTTGAGACGAATGAGATATAATTTGCTGAATTTTTAACATTTGGAAAGCTCTAATTATTGCTCGGAATTTGTGCCAGTTGTAACTAAATGAGGTTATCCACCAAAATTTTATCCCTTTTACTTAATTGTTTCAAGGTCGTATTGGAGTCTGGAGCACTGTTTTGTCAAATAGATGATTCTCCAATGTGAATACTTTTTTTTCGAGGCATAGAATCAATAAATATAGTACTTAATAACCATATGATAACTTAAAAATTAAAATAATATTGAAATAGGTATAGCAAAACAAAGTAATATGTCATTACAAAATGAATTTTTTATAAGAATTATCATCGCACTAATATAATTTTTCCACTAATATTTTAT